CGGTTTCAGGGTCCAGTTCACAGACAGGCAGCCGCAACGTCAGGCGGGGCTGTTTTCGCTAGATGGGGGCGGGGGGGGCTCCGGTGTCCTGGCCCCTCTGCTGCCTCCTCCCCTTCCCCGCGCTCCCTACACTCAGAGCAGGGTCCGGGGCGCTGAGGCCACAGGTGTGTTCTGGGGGTGGGGGCCCCAGAAATACGCTGAGGCAGTGGGCCAGGCTCCCCAAGGGACTGCCGTGTGGAGGGAGGTTCACGTTTCCGGCCTCAGAGAGCAGCGTCCCTGGGCCCAACCCCAGGGCCATCGTCCCTCCCTGCAGCCCAGGCGGGTGGGAGCCGCGCCTTCTCCAGTCCGGAGAGGCACTGGGTGGGGAGGGAAGCTCCGAGCCGCGGACCCACATTCACACCTGCCTCTTACTACGTGACCTTGAGGAGAATGACCTTGTCTGGAAGGCAGGCTTCCCTTCATGGCACCCCATCCTGGGCCCACATGGGGCGGGCTCGGCCAGTTTCTAACTCAGATCCCCTCAGTCCCAGGTGGCCCGCCAGTTACCAACGTGGAGCTTTAAAAATATATATACACGAGAAACTTTAAAATGGGGAGTTCTAGTCTTACTTATATGTCTCCTTATTGACTGGCGGCCACTCGACTCCTGGGGCCTCAGCCAGCCCTGGCCACAGCCTCCACGGTGCAGAGGGCCAGCTAGGAAAGCCGCCCCGTCTGCAGAAACTCCGTCAGGTGGGTGCGGCCGCCGTGCAGACAGGTCCCAGGCAGGCCGGCCGGCCACTCCTCGCCCTGCGGGGCCACCTGGCACGGTGCCTGTCTGCCAGCAGCACAGGCCAACTGCCCCTGGCTCAGCCATTCTCAGCGCCTGGGTTCTGATGGCTCTTCCGGGACTGACTGTAGCCTGCTGGCCTGGCCGGTGCTCAGAGCCAGCGGCAGGAGTCCGCGGCCACCAAGGGGACCGGCCATCTTAGTCCAAAATTCCACACGTGGCCGTTTGGCTTGGCCCCTAAGGGCAGAAACGTGTGGCTTTAACTTTCTACAAAAACAAGGCCGCACCAAACCACTGGGCGAGCTGGTGCCCACAGCCCACGGGGAGGTGCCAGCTGTCTGCCCGTGGGTGCTGGGTGCGTGTGGCTGTGCCCGCCCCGTCCTGCTCCACCTCACAGGAAGCCCAACACGCCCACCAGAGGGAAGGGCATCTTCACAGGAAGCAGCGTTCTTGTATTTTATTCAAATTTAAAAATCACATTTGGATTCTTTTACCAACATGGTAAGCAGCACAGTCCCACGCAGAGCACACGCGGCTGCGCAGGGTGGACCGTCCGGAATGAGTGTCGCTGCTGGGCAGCCCTGAGGCCCAGGACCTTTTGGACCTCACCGACCACCAGTTAAGCCCCCTGCCTTTTGGCCTGTGCAGGAAGGGTGGTTTCCGCCCTTTTTATAACTTCCAACCTCAGGGGGATGAGGGACTGCAAGGGGCGGGGCCTCTGTGCACTGCCTGTCAGACTGCTGATGTCAGGCTGCCTTTTAAACTACCTTTTAAAACACGGTATTTAAATTCAAAAACAAACAGGAATACAGAAACATTAATCCATTACATTTTATTATTAAATACATCTTAGGTTTTATCCCGTACTTTTACCAAAAGGCACTACAATTTTGGCAAATATCTACATAACAGAACTTTCTGAAATGAGCCAGAGAAGCCCATGGAGTGGAGCTCACTGGCTCCGCACAGAAGCCTGACTCTCCGGCCGCATGCGGAGGGACCTTCCGAGGCCTCAGGCTCTCTAGTGGTGCAGGGGGGACCGCGTACACGCTGACCCCGTGCGCAGTCAGTGTGTGGAGGCGGCATGTTCGGTGGGGACGAGGTGACCCTTTCTGAGGATGGGCCTTTCACGTGTGCTCTGCTGCGAGCAGCCGCAGGAAAGCAGCTCCAGACGCGGACGCCGATGTCGCTGATGGCCCAGCAGCCCTGTCACCTCCCTCTGATGTCCAGGTCAGCGCT